AGAGAGAGAGAGAGAGAGAGAGAGAGAGAGAGAGAGAGAGAGAGAGACTGACTCTTATGTTCAAAGGACTTTAGGTAAGCAGAAGACCTCACCAACATGAAGGAGGACTCAACTTTGCACTCCTAATCAGATCTACCAAGGTGAAAGTGTTGGAACGTCTAGGACACACGCCTCTCCCACGAGCTACCTAATAGTCCATTCTCCCCAGCCTCCCACCATCTATACACTGCCTCCCTCACATCTTCTGGAGTTTTCTATGACTCACAATGGCACACCCCCAACAAGACGTATAAAAAGGTATTTTCGTCTCTTATTTTGCGTATAGTATTAATTTAGCTACCAAGCTGGCTGCATCCTTCTGAATGTTGTCCTTTCCTGTGTAGGTAGGGAAGGATTTTCTGGAAAAGACTGAAAACGAGGGGAAAAGCTTTCTTGATTATGTCATGGAAGCCAGTATGTGGGTTTGTATAAATCCTCCGAGGAAGAGTACCACTGTGTGGTCTGATCTTGTTCACAGTGGCTGGATAAAGGAGACCAGGAGGGGCTGAGATAATTAGTCGGAGAGTTATGGGCCCTAGGAGACAGAGAGGTGGATTGTCATAACTAGATTTCTTTGCCTGTGAGGAAAGGGGACCTGGCAGCTCCAGCAGGCATGTGGACTGGGGCAGAGTCCTCAGTCAGACGCGGGATCTGTTTGCTTATGTTTGGCTTCCTTGGGAACTGCAGGTTCACTTATCACGGCTTTTGTGGAGCTGACCTAGTGCCCTTTGGCTGTTAAGCCAGGCGTGGTTGCTGCCGTCAAGGTCAGTGCGGGCGAGGAAACATTCCCAGAAAGGCGTTTGTTTCCATTTTCTCTGTGTGCTTCTGTGAAAAAACTTGCCAGGACATTTGGTAGTCAATAAAACCGAACTTCATTATTTTAACCTCCATACAAGGTTGTGGGCTTCAGCTCCTTTGTGCCCCCTGCCACTTTGCAGTCCCAGGAGTGGTCACCTGTACTGAGAAACCAGCCTTGCAGAGCACTGCCAAAGACTGGGGGTCACACTAATGACTTGGGGGTTAGAGTTTTAAAAATAGGACAGAAAAAAACGAATGGTTTAGAATTGGTTTGGGGAATCAGCAAAAATTAAAATGGCATCTAGTTCTTTCAGTGTTACAGTCTTTATTTCAGAATAATAGGAAGATGGCTTTGAGCTGAGATTATGAAAAAAACAATTATAAAAATTTGAACAGGAACGGAAAACGTTTGCCTCGTAGCGGCTGTCATTCTCACTATCTCCAGAGTAAAGGTCCCTGATAACATCCGTCCATTGTGGCCATTGTCCACGCATGTCAGCTCTGCCTGGGTATGCAATTACTTTTGCCTCAAATTCCTGAACTAAAATCATCACTAACTTTTTAGTTCAAGCTATTCAACTTAAACAGTCTGGTTCCCTTTCTTATGTATGTGTAGTAGCCCAATGTATAGGCACCCATCAATTCATTTGCTCATTCATTCATTCATTCATTCATCCATTCATCCATTGAGCAAACACTGGTTGAGTAGCTACTCTAGGCACATTCTTTTTTCAGGTGTAACCAGACGATGAAAGGAGTTATCCCTGCTCTTAGGAACTTACAGTTTGGAAAGAGTTGGCTGTGGCCAACGCTCCCAGGTCATCGGGGAGGCGTTGATGTTGCATTAGAAGTGCAAGCTTGAGCTATGGGAACATGAGAATAGTTGACTCTGGAATGGTGGGACACCGGAAACAGGAGATACCTCCTAAAGAACAGGGTTTCTTGGGATTTAGTGTTTGTTTAATTTATCAGAGCTGCATGGAAGCAGCAAAACAGAGTAGTCAAGGGCTTACAGAAGAGGCTGACCTTGAGGGCCAGAGGTTGGTGGTGGTTGGCATTCGTGCAGACAGAGGATATAGCATCAAGGGGAACAAAATCTCTCTGGCCGTCATCTTTTCTCAGCTGCGTTAACACAGAAGAGGTCTCTCCATGATTCTAGGACACGGCCTGAGTCCGAGCCCTCTCGAGTTTATTCTGCTGGGGTATTATTTCTGCTTTAACCCAAGATTGCATATATGAATTCTTGCGTTACTCTGATGAGGGATGAAAGCTAGCAAACCACACTATATGATACTGCTCTTGTTAAAGATGGAAGGCCAGAACCGGCCTTTAAGATCAAATGACCCGAAAGTCAGTGAGATGAGGGGGGTGTAGGTAAAGATGCTTACTGCGCATGGCTACCGAACGGCTTGAGTTCAAAGAGAGATTTGACTCCACAGGTGTCCTCTGGCCTTCCTGTGTGGCCTGGCATATGCACCCCCTCACACTCACACAGACAATATTTTTTTAGTTAAGAGTAAGTGGCATGAGATATACAAGACTTTTGTGGGAATCAGCATAGTGAATCGTAGAGGAGGCTATTGTATAGTGAGGTAACTATTAGGGCCACTCTGGAGATCTTCGAGAACTCAGGGGTTCCCTCGTTGCAACGTATGCTGTGGAAGGTGGCAAACCACCACCACTACACACACACACACACACACACACACACACACATGCACACACACACACGTAGTGGTTCTTTACCAAAGCAGTGCCCAATTCAATTCATCTAGGGAATTTGAAAATGTGTGTGCATATATGCCAGGGAGGCACTTAAGGGGGGGCACTTGGATGTTCAATACCCTGCCTGCCAGGTGTCAGCTATTCCCCCAAAACAAAAGGTTTTTTTTGTTTCACCTAAGATTCTTGGACTTCTTCATCACACTTTTAAAAAACAGGAGGGGGTTAGGAAGATGGTTCAGGTGGTAAGCTGTCTCAGAAACTAAGGTGGAGAACACCTGACCTTGAACCCTGGCTTCCACATGTATGTACACACATGCATGTACACATACACATAAGGGTAGCCATCTTTAGAGAGAGACCATTAATCAGATCTTTCCATTCCAAACTGCAGGATGCGTCCACCATGTTTGCAGGCCATGAGCGCTCTCACACAAGAATCCTTAGATCGATAGGCATCCTTGGTGGAGCCCTGTGCTAAATTTGACCACACTAAATTATGACAAGAATCATAGTATGACCTGGGAGTTTTGGTGGCCAGATGCATGAGCTGCGACTGATGTAGAGGATGACAAAGCATTTGTGGAAACTGATAATGACAGTAAAGATGACTCCAAGCCCATGAGTAGGAAAGTGGCGTTTGGATCATCAACAGTTCCAAACGGCAAGAGCTTAGCAGAATGCCCGCTCAACTACTTCAGCCAGCTGGAGGCTTTACCCGCAGAAATCGCCCCTGCAATAGCCAGCTCACTATTGTGTGAGTCACCCGGGTTGTCATGGAGCTGGAGAGACCACAGTGGAGTAACAAATGCATAGTTCTCTCTCCTCTTTCCATTTCGTTCAGCATCCAGCATGTGCCGTGCCCCGTAGGTGAGCTTGATTGATGTTTCACCGAAAACAACAGACTATGGCAAAATCTTGAAAGACAAACAGATGTGTCAATACGAAAACAAAACAAACAAACAAACAAAAAAAAACCCTGAGTTTTTGCATGGAGGGGTCAAGACAGAGCCAGTCCATCTCAGCTATGCAAAGATCCAGCATCATGTACTGTATGCTGACCTTGCCATCCTGATCTTCTAGGTGCTGGTGACAATTATTTAAACTTGTTGATCAAAGGAACAACATGAAACTGTTCACTGGGGGCAGGGGCTCTATGGTTCACACTGGGGATGAGGGAGAATGGTAAGGGTCCTCTGCCATGGAGACTTTCCTCTCTCCATCGTCTCAGTCCAAATGCCCTCCTCCGTATCCATGGGGCTACGGCTCCTAACCCAGCAACATTTCATTTATCATGCACCTGAGAGAGAAGGGAGATGCCAGCACTGCTGTCCCTGAGTGCACCCCGCAGGGGATAATAATGTGCCATTGACTATACACAGCAGGACACATTTGTTTGGCTTGCCCAGTGGATTTTAGTTGCTGAGACTCGAAAATCAAAGGTTGTTTTTCATGATACCCAGGTTCTTGACTCCTGAATCAGAGTATATGTGTTAGAAACATGTCAAGGATTATGTTTTAGTGCTGGTTTTCTTTTCTTTTTCTCTCTCTCTCCTTCTTATCTCTCTCTCCCTTCTTCCCTCTCCCTCTCCTTTCCTCCCTCCTTCTCCCCATCCCTCCTTCTCCCCCTCCCTCCCTCCCTTCCAAGGCTGAACTGATCCTCCAGCTTCTACCTCACAAGTGCTTGAGTTACAAGTGTCCGCCATGTCCGATTTTACTATTCTTTTTAAAAAGGAAGCCCCAGGTTGTTTTCTGAAGCAGCAGCTGGTATCAGTCAAGTTTGGGTTTGTAGGAATATAAACTCATCTTGATAGTATGGAAAATGCTGCTATGACTTGGAGTCCTCTACTGATTTCTTTTGCTGATACGAAAAGGGAAGGAAGGAAGGAAGGAAGGAAGGAAGGAAGGAAGGAAGGAAGGAAGGAAGG